AAAGAATCATCTGGTAAGAACAATTTTCCTTCCTAGTTTGTTGAATAAACAAACCAAAAACATACCTCACACATACCCAGCCAGAGAGGACAATTTTCTTAGCTTGATGAAACTTCTCCAAACAGAAAAAAAACTATGAATTAATATTACTGAACCTCAAAGGACATGATAAAACAATGGTGGCCATCTATGACTCAAGGGATACTGATTCTTACAGTATGGGTAGGTAATTTTAAAAAGTTCATTTGAGATTTCTGATACTGTACATTCAGTGTCTCTTTCAGGACTTTGTGTTGTTATCTTTAAAAAATTCAACTAGTGCTTCATGGAGTCTCTTGGTTTTCTGGTATTCCTTTGGTGCCTAGCACAGGGCCTGTCCACCTTAGGGATTCGATAGAGATATGTTGACCAAGTGATTAAATTTCATCCCCAAGCTACTCTTGAGCCTCATAAATCCCTCCCATCTCAAATTTGTCACTCTGAATACATGAGAAAAGAAAAGGACAATGCACCCCTCTGTGCCCTGCCTTAGTCACTCATTGTCTTTGCATCAAGTTACAAAGATTTATTTCTTTTAATCAGCCTTGATCCAACACTCCCTCTAACCAGTTAACCTTTCAGGTTGTTTTCACCTTACTTCTGAAAATTTGTCTTCAGCTGTCTTCTCTTAAGGTATTCAGGAAGAGCCAAAGCAATACAGTAGGATAGTCTAGTAAATAGACCAAAAAAGTGGTAACTTCATCAGTATGAATATGAGGAATACTATCTCTCTCTCTCTCACACACACACACACACACACACACACACACAGAGTCTTCCTTATGGTCATCCATTATGAAATTCTGACCAATAGATAGATATTCATGCATTTGGAGTGCTCACATCCCAGGCTCTGATCAGGTGATTAGTACCTAAAAAATGTATTGCCAAACAGGTGAATGTTGAGGACAGAGTTGCTGGAGGAATTTCATAGGGGATAGGAAAAAGGACAGGGAGCAGGGATATGGAATAAAGCAAAGCATTCCTTTTGTTGGTGATCCCTGGTTAAATGTCTATGACAATATGTTTTTAAATATTAATCACTTAAAATGTGTTCTGGTGTTTGTTTACCACAAATGGCATTAAATTTTACATGTTAATATGTTTAAATTTTTTAATGGAAAAAAAAAAAAGCAATGTGAAGGCCCTAGAAACAAACTTTCTGATTCCACAACTATTTTGAGGAAACAGTACAATATGTTTTTTTAAAGGCCCAGTGAAATGGCATTTCTCTGAGTTTGTATGATGTTAGGTCACTTTGTTCCATCATTTAATGCTAATAATTTTAGTTGTCTTTGCTGCAGGTCTAAATTTACCTAATTTTCCAGACATTCAAATTCCTGTCTGTGCTGACAACCTCATCACTCCAAGACGTCCCAGGCTAGTCTTTCTTTGTTTTAAGGTCATGTGTTTTCTTGGGAATCCTAAACTCTTAGGGAATATAAGAGTGACAGGCAAACCATGGACCATTTTCTTTCTTAACAACAGTCAAACTCCAAGAAGATGCTCATCAAATAATTGTGAGGCTTGAAAACATTCAAAAGTCATCGTCTCCTGTGATGTGTAGAATAATTAAATGCAACATCAGCATGACATCGGTGGTAGATAATTTCCAGCCGTAAAATGCCATTGTCTCGCATTAACTTGAGGGTTGTTGGAGGCTTTTGTCTCCATTTCACCAGACAGAGTACAAAACATTGTGACATGCTTAATATTTCTTCCGCCAAGATGTCCACTCCGATTCCTCACCCTTTACAGAGTTGTTGATTTCATTCTGCATTTAGCTGCCAAAAAAGCGATTGCCTGTGCAGCACCAGTAACAAAGTGAAAATGAATTATGCATCAGAAGGAACTGCATTTGAGTCAAAAAACTTAGACTTCAGCATCTTCAAATTACAATATGATTTAAGAAGGAATACATTTAAGGAGATAGCAATGGACTGAGGTGAAGGGGTCAGCATTGGCCCGGTTTAATATAATTTAGCTTTCAATTATTTATTTTTTAAAGAGCTACTAAGCACACTGAATCTCTTTAATGGCAATGTCAAAATATGGAGACTGGAGAAAAGCCATGAATAATAGTGACAGATTGTTATGCATGGTAATGTTATAGGGCCTGCTGCAAACTGAAGCATTCACCAGAGCAGGGAGAGCAAACAAGAAGCCGCCTGCTATGAAAGCGAGGGACATGGCTCCCTTCCCTGGGCAGGGAAGACAGCTGAACTCCATTTCCCATCTAACTGGCTTTGTCAAAAAGGCCACTAAGCTGATGTGTCCGCAAGAATTCTGCACTTCTTTTTTCACAACGGAAACATATAATTGCTTGTTTAAATTGTCCACCTTTAATTTTATTGACAGTAAAATTGACCCAGTAAAATGGCATCTTCGAGCACCTGGGCAGTTCTTTGACAAGAACTGGGAGAAGTGCCCCAGAAGAAAGGGGGCCACAATTTGCCCCTCCTTCAGGAAATTGGTCATCAAGTGGATAAATTTGAATAGGGAAATGTAGGAACCAAAATATAGGATATACATGTGTTAAAGAATCTGCTATAAATGGAAAGTGTTTATTAATACAGAGGAGGAAGGTAAGGGTCATGGTGAAGTAGAGTCTGGACGAAGGTTAAGAATGTCCATGTTTATCCATCAACTCGCCATGGGTCCTGCTCCCCTCTGCCCACCATTTACATTTTCTCTCTTGCAACAAACAACACTGACCAAGAAGAAACCTTACCCATGTGCTGTGTTTCTCACCCATGGGACAGTAATTCATTTCTTCTATGGCTACTCACCTGGGTGATGCAAATATCTCTCGGTCAAACAGTCATTCTGCCACACCTAATAGTCTTTTGGATACTAGAAGTATTAGCACTCTCATTCCCTCCTGTTACCATACCATTTTTACCCCTCCTCCCCTGTCTTAGAACCACTTGCCCCACCAGCCCAATCTTTCTTGGCTTAGTGCCAAGTGACAAAGGCAGTGCCATATGGGGAAAAAAACAAAACGAAGTACAAATGAGGAATCAGGAGGGCAGATTTCCAGTCTTGGCTTTTATATGCTTATTTAGACAATGTTGGGACTTTGTTTCTTCAACTTTTAAGTGAACAGATTGGTTATATCACTGGTTTAAGAGCATGTATATATACATACATATAGCTTAAACCTTTAGTGGTAGAATATTTTTCTTTTCAAAATAATTTTTTTTCACAGACCCCCAAGTGTTGATCAGACAGAAACAGAGGCATGCTGGTTGGGGCAAGATGAGAAGTCCATGACATCCAGTGCCCTTCCCTCCTGGCTGAACTTCCCAAGCTGTGCAGAGTCCAGTCTTAAAACTGACATGATAGTACAATTTCTAAAATTCTTTCAAGTTCTGAATTTCTTGGATTTCCTGTCATTCTATAAAACATTTTGTTCTAAAGTGTTACTATCTTAAAATTCATTCTACTACCATCTGTGCCTTTAAAAAAAAACAAAAAACAAAACATGGAGAGAAAAAAAGCTAAAACTAAGGGAATACTTAAGGATACAATTTCTGAGAAAGGGAAGTTAATTGTTCCCAATTGCACATCAAAATGGTCTAAGTCGTTGCCTAGCCTGTATTAGTTAGCAGCTCTACAGAAACTTCAAGCAGAAGGATGTGTCCATTTACCATTTCACTGACAGATCAAGGAAGAAGGATCTGTCCCACTGGCAGAGACAAGTACCAGGTCACTGATAGTTTTTACTCAGTTTCATTTTGCACAATTGTGTCTGAGGAAGGCAGTGCTTTCGTGACTATACAGTTTGTGCATTTCTGTCCTATGGTGAAGACTGAAGGGCATGTGGTTCTGAGAAAACATAGCTGCTTAAATATGAAAATACGTAACAGCAAGCTGCCAATGGAACAGTGTGTCAAGTGAGGGAGCCAGGGTTTCCTAGAGCCTAAGCTACATGTGATTTTGAAAATTATAAAAACAAAGTCACTAAAAATAATTAAAAGAAAACTTGGAGATAATTCTTGCTTGATACCTAGGGAAAAACCAAGTATTTTTTTGATAAAATATCCAGGGTGGTTAGCTGCTCTACAAGAGCAGGTCCTATCCTTCAATTAGCCACATTCTAGGGAGGTCTTTAATATTTTTCAAATGGGAAAATAGGATTTTTAAAGCAAAATTACATTCAATCTATTCAATTTAAAAAAAACTGAAATAGAGCCTCTTAAAAATAGACAACCAATAGGTCTGATGGAGGGAGGTGCATGGGGAGTGGATTAGATGCATGCTGGGTATTAAGGAGGGCACTTGTGATGAGCACTGGATGTTGTATGGAAGTGATAAATCACTGAATTCTACTCCTGAAACCAACATTGCACTGTATGTTAACTAGAATTTGAATAAAAATTTGAAAAGAAAAAAAAAAAAAAAACCCTAAAATATATGAGAGTAAGAGAGAATGAGAAAAGAAGAATATTATATTTAGAAAAATAGTGTTAGGAAAAAAATGGGGCTGAAAGCAAAACTAAGTATTTTATCTTCAAGAATGACAGAGATCTGCTGATTTCAAGGTTTGCAGTTTAGCTTCTCCAGTTTGACTGGAGTTTGGGGTTTAACTTGCAATATTTTTGTTTTTTCATCATCATGTCGTCCCTTCTCTCTAATCAATAGTGCAAACATTTCCTTCTTAGGGAAAAAAGAAAGAGAATATGAGCAGAACTATTCTGTCACAAGCCCCATTGCCACCACTTTGATGCCCCGGGTTCCACTTTCCCACAGATCTGAGGCCTTGGAAAAGACTAGAAGCTTTATTTTCAGCTAACAAGCAAATAATTAGCTAACTGCTAAAGAGTTAACTAGTGATGGTGTAATATCTTGCCCCTCCCTCTTTAAAGAGTAAGTGAAAAAGAAAAGTTAATTATGACTGAGTAAAAGAAAAACAATCATTAAGGTAAGTAAAAAGAAATACAAGAATCCTACCTTATCTGTATTTCACTTTCCACAGTTTCAGCTACTCGAGCTCAGCTGTGTTCCAGAAGCAGACGATCCTCCTGACATAATAGTAGGTCAGTATTAGCCTCCTAACACCATGTCACAATGCCTACGTCATTCACCTCACTTTATCTCATTACATAGCCATTTTGTCATCTCACTCATCACAAGGAAAAGAAGAGTCAGTAATAACATATAATTGATAACATCTTATATGTTTTGAGAGAGAGAAAGTGATGAAGAGAGAGAGAGAGAGAGAGAGAGACCATACTCCTTAACTTTTATTTAAGTATATCTTATAACTGGTTTCTTTTACTACTGTTGTTGTTAATCTCTTACTGTACCTAATTTCTAAATTAAACTTGGTTATAGATAATTATATATATAGGAAAAAACATAGTATATCTAGGGCCCAGTACTATCTGTGGTTTCAGGAATCCACTGCGGGTCTTGGAAAGTATCTCCCACAGGTAACAGGGAACTGCTGTGTATGTTTGTGGGGATGTGTATGAGGCAGTGAGACAGAGAATGCTTTCATCTTAATCAACTATACTTCTAGGGATCATTTCTATAGTTTGTTACTTCTTAGAATTCAATGTAGCCTGTCAAAGGTAGCTTCAATCAGAGTTAGGGGTAATTTGGGATCTTCACTGGGTTGGTGGGGTCTAGATAACATTATCCATGATTCTCATGAATGCCACACTGCTTTTTCTGTTAAACAGAGCAACCCACTCTACATAATCATGACAGTCATGTGACTGATCTTGACATGTGGGAGAGATGCCATTATTCACACTGAGTGATCATCATGTAATGCAAAAGCCAGAAGAATATGTGGCAGGGTATCAAGTGACCAATTTGATTTCTCTGGTCTCTCTTTGTAACACATTCCCCACTCCCTGAACTAGGACCAAGAAAGAGGTTAGGAGAGAAAAGAAATCCATCTTGTTCTGCTTTCTTTCATTATTATATAAACCTTGTTCAGAAAGTTTCGTTGTGCTTTGTAACATGGGTGGAGATGCCCCTTCCCAAGTCATGTTGACATTCAGCCTGACAGGTAGAGAGCACTTAATTAGTCTCAAGAATCTACTTGTTAGAGAAAACTTTGTTGTTTCAAAGAGTCACAATGACAGATAGACAGTTTCTGGGTACTGTTACAAAATTCCTAAACACCACATAATTTAGGAAGGGGTTGTGTCATCACATTCAAAATAGGATGCCTATCCTGAAGCATAAATCTGGCCTCTAAATTTGGCAGACCACTACAAAACCAACCAGAACATTTGTTTGATTCTGTGATATTGGTTGTCTTTTTCTTGTGATGATGTAAATGTAGGATGTTAGATCACTGAAGGACATTAATGTAAAATTCTTTCAATTACAGATTTAAAAGAATGGGTCTTCAAGAAACTATAGAATTTTCTAAACAAAGTCAAATGTCATTTCTTCTAAGAAAACAAGAGGAGAGAAAATAACATGAGTGGAGGAGCTCTTCCTAAGGTCAGAAGAGCTTTGGGGTAAAACATGCAGCCCTTCCGTTGTCAAGGGGTTGTTGTTTTCCTCCTGTCTTATGGAAATTCTCCATGAAAAGATTTATTCATATTGTCACAAACTGCCAGAGTTGCATCTCCACTCCATATTCAAAATCTCACCTCTTCAGATCTTACCAGTTTTTATTCTCCAACAGCTCATTTTCCATAAACACATGGAGCGAATTCGTCTATTTGTATGGTGCATTTCACATGCAAATCTACCTAGTCAACAGCAGAGTGGATACTGATCAGATACAGGAGATGCTAATCATGAGGACTTTTAAAGTTACCAAGGCAGACGATATCCTTGTCAGTGTGCTAGGGATGTCAAAGGTAGAGTCTGTCACTGTGATACTCCTGGCAGTGGGATGGACCATAGGTGCCAAAGCCCTGGAATCCAAACTCTGGAAATGGATTACCATGAGATGGCAACATTGAACAGTAAAAAGTTTTATTCTTTTTGGTCCTTGGGAAACTGATGGGGGTCAGCAGGGGGGGTGTGACAATTGTACCTTTCTCTTTTGCTCTAACTTTCTAGGGCTTGTTTCATTAGCATAGTTTTTTAAAGTGCCTTGAATGTAGATGGCTCCTTCCCGCTGAGCTAGTCAAAGTGCTTTACATACATTATCTCTCGTTTGTCCTCCTCTAATCCTCAGTGTTTGATAGGTGTCAAAGGAATCAAAGGAAGGTCCTTTTTTTTTTTTTTTTTTTTTTAATTTGAGGGGGAAATAAGGGTTACAAGATTGATACAGAAGAACAAATTTCCAAGATGGCATCCACCTTTGGAATTCCCTTATAACACAGGAAAAAAAGAAAAATACCTTCTTTTTTTTTTCAATGTTCCAAATACTGGAAAAATACCTTCTTTGATTACTACTGTTCACCAGAAGCCCACTATTCTTTCTTTCCTAAACCTGAAAAGGCTACACTTCTCATTTTTCTTACTGTGACTTTAACCTTGTGGATTGTCTTGGCTTATGAGAAGTGAGCAAAAGTGGGTACTATGGATCAGAGACATCCCTGCCCTGAGAGAAAACACACAGGCACACACACACACATGCACAGGATATCTGTGTGAAAGAGAAATACGAAGTCATAAAGATTTGGGGTTATTTGCTGCATTGGTATAAACTTAGCCTATTCTCACTAATACATCTTGTTTGGGTAATACTTAAACACAACGAAATGATAACAATCTGCTACTTCAAATTACATTGGAATCACAGTGTATACAAATGGACAAAAATGCACATTCCCATCAGGCAAATAAGTTAATTCCTATAATGTAGATTTCTACAAATCAATGAAGTTAAGTATATGTTGCTACAGGGTATTATTCTCAGTACTTTTCTATATTAAAAGTAATAAATTGGGGCGCCTGGGTGGCTCAGTCGTTAAAAGTAATAAATTGTACTGATTTTTCTTAATGTGAAAATAATGAATGTAAATTAAAAATAATTATGGAATACAAGAAAGCACAAAGAGGAAAATAAAAATAATCTATTTTCCTGCGTCCAGAGATAACGACTGTTATTATTCGGAGACATTTCATAGTAGTTTTTAGCAAAATGAACATTGGTGGTGGTGGTTGTTACACCTCTTTCTGGTTCCTGTAACAAGGACTACAAGCTGAAAAAGCGGAAGAGAAAACTGTCTGCCTGAATTCTAGCGCTGGCTTGAACACTATCTGGCTGTGAGACTTTGGCGAACCTTTTAATAGGCACTAACTCCCTTTCTTTTTTGGCATTTCTATCTCACAATTCTGTCCCTTTCCATGAGATTCCAATTTCATAACCTTTGTTTCAGCTTTTATTATTTGGCTCTGAGTCAATTCACTAAAAACAATTAGCTGAAAGTTGATTCACCAAAAATGATCAATTTCCCAAATGACCATTTCACCAAATTTGTAGCAGATTAAAAATGAATCTTTAAGAATTTTACTAGTTACATTCAATAATAGATACAGTCATAAAAGTATATCATCAGTAACAAAAATGTTGGCATTTTGTTTGGTTTTTTTCCTTTCACTATGCTGCTTACACTAGTATCTGCATAGTCTTTTAATTCATTTTTCGTTTGTCAATCTATCCCGTTTAGCATGAGATCTATTGTAATTTTCAAACAGTCTAATACTTTAAAAAATTGCACTTATATTTAATATACTTCAAATTTGTAGTTGTAATCATATAGAGGGAGATAGTAATTATTTCTGAAAATATCTACTTCCTCTTTTGAATGATTGAAATCTTTTATGTTGGAGTTTAGTGCAAACTAATACCAAATAAGATTAGTCCAACTGTCTTTGCTAGCATCCAAAATTTAGTAACGTCTAATGTGTGAGAATATTCCTGGTTATTTCTTTCGAATACTTTAGAAATTAAAAGTAATCAAATTTAACATTTAATTTAAAGTAAAATGAATTTTAAATTTAATATAAATTCAGTTACAATTTTAAGTTTAAATTTATTTATTTTATTTATTTATTTATTTATTTATTTATTATTCTTATGTTAATCCCCATACATTACATCATTAGTTCTAGATGAAGTGTTCCATGATTCATTGTTCGTGCACAACACCCAGTGCTCCATGCAGAACGTGCCCTCCTCAATACCCACCACCAGGCCAACCCATCCTCCCACCCCCTCCCCTCTAGAACCCTCAGTTTGTTTTTCAGAGTCCATCTTCTCTCATGGTTCGTCCACCCCTCCGATTTCCCCCGCTTCATTCCTCCCCTCCCGCTACCTTCTTCTTCTTCTTTTTTTTTCTTAACATATCTTGCATTATTTGTCTCAGAGGTACAGATCTGAGACTCAACAGTCCTGCACAATTCACAGCGCTTAACAGAGCACGTACCCTCCCCAGTGTCTATCTTAAGTTTAAATTTATACTCACATAATTTAAAATTCAATTGTTCGAGTTCTTTTACTTTTAAGGAAAATTTAATTAGTTTTACTTTATTTTAATCCAATATTTAAACGTAATTTAGTATTAATTTTATCATTAGAAATATAACATCCAGGCTAATAGGCTATTTTAGGAATTAGAGAATAAAATCTAAAAGCGTTCAAAAATTTCAAAAGCAATTAAACAATTTTCAAAAGCTATTAAAAATTTCAAAATTACTCAAACCTTCTTAAAACAAAGGAAATAGCTAAGACAATCCAAGTGAAATGTGAAAATCGTAAGAAAATATTTTCTGTATTTCTCAAGGTGACCTGTTAAAAAATAAATTGAGGCATATTACAAATTTTAAGAGTTTATCTGAGCAAAAGTCAACCAGGCAGCGCCAAATTGGAAGTGGTTATGGGTGCTCCACTGACAGGAGCTCAGGCAAAGACATTTAGACTTACAGGAAAGGCAGAAGGAAAGTAAGAAAATTGTTGACTGGCTATAGCTTAAAGCCTAGTTGGCTATTTGTAATTGGTTGTCCTCAGCGTTTTGATTTTGTAACCTTAAGGCATGTATAGACTTAGATTTTGTTTTGCCTACATAGGCTGCAAGGACATTAGAGTGACCTGAGTCTA